GGGGGGGCTACCGTTTCTACAGCCCCCCCAATTTTGAGGAGCGTTTCCCCCCTTAATTTTGCAGCACAAAATTTTTAATTTGCGGCACAAAATAGCACAAAATTAGCACAAAATTATGATATAATTTTTGGTTTAAGATTCGAATGTGGGGGGGCTGTGGAAATGGACCCGCCTTGGCTGGCCATGGAGGCCGAAACGAGTGCACCCAAACGAACCATATTGAGGGATAAGGATCAGGAATCCTGCGATGTCTGTCACACAAAAACAACAACATCAACAAATTGATCAATTATAAAGAAAATGAGATTGTTTTGTGAATAATTTCTTAATCTATTTTCATTTGAGACCGATGGAAATAACAATTTACTCTTGATAAACCACAATTAGGTAATATTTTCATTATTCTTGTTCACATTCGAGGTACCGCCATCTTGGTGCACTCGTTTCGGCCTCCATGAGCGAGAACCAATCAGAATTGGATTTTTTATTAGGCCACTTTCAGCCAAACCCTGGCCCAACCAAAAGTGAATTGTCTTAACTCTGGGTATAAAGGGACTCTATTCGGAACCATAGTTCGGTGCGCTTATAGAGGAAACATCGATCGTTCATAACTCTCGAACCGTTTGGTTACCCAGCTAAATGGACCCTTCGTTGAATGCGAAAAAGACTAACAATTTAAAAAATTGATTGTGGTTTAAAGAAAAAATTGAAATCTTTGTGTATAGCTTGTTTCAATGAAATTTCTTCGACTCAAATACTGAAGAATGCACTCAAGTTAACTTGAAAATGTGATTTTGGGATTTTTACCTTCAGAATCATAAAGTGTGCAATTTTAGACCATTCTTCGTCCAAACCGGTTCTCGATATCTTTCTTCGTTCGAGAATTATTGTGATTCAAAGGTTTTAGCTTCTACCCCACCCTCCCTCCCGGGGGTGTGGAAATTCTAGAAAAGGGGAAATCAGGTATGAGTGATTAACAGACAAAGTTTGAAGAAATTCAAGAGGGGGGGAAAAAAACGTCGTTTTTGCATTAAGCTCTTTGATGCGTCCTTTCCTTTTGAACTCCCATTTTTCCTAACATTGTTGTCTTTTCTGTTCGGAGTATCAATGTTTTCAATGAATTGTGTATTTTATGACGAAAGATTTTCGCTTCTTTTTTCTTGTTGCTCCCATTATTGTTGCGCATTTTTACTTTAATTTATTCGTGGTGTCTCTCCTGCTCCTAAAGAGACTGTTACTTTTTTATAACTTTCTTTTTTAGGTGAAAGGAGCTGGTTTGATGGACACGCGCGAAATTTGCTGGAAATTCTTTGTTGATAGAGTACGAAAATTATTGAAAATCATCCTGTGTTTTTCGCCTGTGGGACCAAGTTTTCGAATTAGAGCTCGTCGGTTCCCTGCAATCATTAATTGTACATCCATAAATTGGTTCTACGAGTGGCCACAAGAAGCACTTGAATCTGTTTCTAAACGATTCCTTGGTGAAGTTGAGGAACTACCGGTAAGAAAACATTCAAAAATTTGCCTCACAAAGAAACCTTAAGTAATTTTGATACATATATAAAATTTATATAGTTATTTTTTTCTATACGAGCACAGATTGCCGCGTGACTGCGATCGAGATCTTTGCCAATATTACTTTCTTATTTATCCAAGTAACTATTGTTTTCATACACATGGGTGCTCATTATAATTGAATTTGATTTCAGGAAAATCTTGTTGGATCAGCATCTTCCTTTATGGCTTTTGTTCATACCTCTGTTAATAAGGTATCCACTTCATATTTCCAAAATGAAAGACGATTTAACTACACTACCCCCAAATCTTTCCTAGAGCAAATATTACTTTATCGTAAATTGTTGAAAAGTACCACCGTCAAAATTTCGAGCGGAATTCATCGATTTCAAACTGGGTTACAAAAATTGCTAAACTGTGCTCAACAGGTAATTGTTCATCTATTTTTGCTAAGAACTATAGGTAAGGAAGCAGTATCCAAATGCCTTGCAAAAGTGTGTAATTTTGTAATTTAGTACAAAACAAGGGGCTCATTATTTGCTAGGTCACATCGGCCTAAATACGGAGTCCAAAAATTTGCTCAAAGAGGGACATCCTAGAGATTCAAAACTATTAGTAATATTTTTTACCTAGCCCCTAAAAAAAGAGAAGGGGATGGAAGTCAAAATCGCCAAAACATACTTTCTAGTAGTTCGTCGTAAAAAGTCGATCTTGTTGTCAAAATTTTAAACAAAATAAGGGGCATCAGAATGTGCATACAGGGTGTCCGTAAAGTCCCATCCGACTTTTGACCTAATTGAGGTCGATATTTGAAACATGGAGGATGCTCCTAGGTGAAAGGGAGCTACTTTTTGACCCCCTAAAATTTTTGAGGGGCTCCCCTTGGGGTGAAGGGGGAAGGGGGTTTATGGACCCTAACTTTTTTTTTAAATGGGAAGACCCCCTTTGTGGTACCTCAATCGAAAGAGCGTAAATTTTCGCGCAAACTTGAAGTCAATATCTCAATCCATTTCAAAATGGCTGCCGGTTAAAGTTCAAGATGGCCGAAAATTGACATCTAGGTTTTTTGTGGATGGATTTGCCTGAGACTTGGCACTGGGAGGTATTTGAACGTGGGAAAACGATTTTATCGGTAGATTTAAAAAAAAAAAATTGTGAATATGGCGGCTGATTGAAGATCAAAATGACCGATTTTTTTTTTATTTATTTTTTTATTTTTTAGAAATCTAATATCAAATTTGTTAATCTCATGAAAAAACACCTGTAAGTTCCAAGTTTCAGGCAAATCTATAGGCAAATAACCGAGATGCCGATGTTCGGCCATCTTGAAGTTAAACCGGCCGCCATTTTGAGACGGTTTGAGATATTGACTTCAGGTTTGCGCGACAAATTTTCTTTTTTTTATGCTCTTTCGATTGAGGTACCACAAAGGGGGTCATCCCATTTGAAAAAAAAGTTGTGGTCCGTTAACCCCCCCCCTCCCAAGGGGGCCCCCTCGAAAATTCTAGGGGGTCAAAAATCCCTTTGGCTTGAGAACATCCTCCAAGTTTCAAATCTCTACCTCAATAATTAGGTCAAAAGTTAGATAGGGGGAGGGACTTTACGGACACTCTGTATAAATCCGATTTTTTAAAGAAATATACAGGGTCCCTTATGTGTAATTTTGGTAGCTCTGGCGGTGCTCGCACTCCGGTGCCGCTATTCTGGTTGTTTACAATACCGCTTGGACCAGTGATCCATATTGTCATTGGTGGGATCCTGCTCTGGTGGTTGGGTAACTGCGCCATTTTTTTATTTGTGGTGTGCGTTCTTCTGTAAGTTATTGTTGGGCAATTTTGATTATAAAGAAAACTAGCGTGAAAACTAAAAATGTTTGAAATATTAGGTAAACTCGCAATACTGGGTAGGACAGTTTTATGATGACTTAGCGAAACAGCATCATGATGAAATGATGGTAGAAACCCACACGAGGTACTATGAGTGCTGTGGATGTAGACCGTGGGCCAGCGAGTGGTAACTCCCCCCCCCCCCTTGGAAATTTTGAAGATGGTGATTTTCTTGAAGCTCTTGACTGGTAGAATAAGATTTTTCTTGTTTACGCGAATTCTATTGTGGTGGGGGGAGTAAGCCCCCCCTAAACCCCCCAAAATTGCTCAGAATTCCGACTTTTCCGCGAATTTTCCTATTTTTCTCGAAAAGGCTTGTTTTCAGGGCAAAACTCCTCATAACAATTCTGAAAGCTCGTGAAATATTGGTAAAGAAAAGTTGTAAGTGACTTTGGCCATTACCCGTTGTCCGCCCGGATCCCTGTGGTCCCGGCCCTCCGGTTAGGGGGCTTAAAATGTCAAAATATCTCAAATTTCCGCGAAAATGACCGTTTCGCCGCGATTTCTCACCAATAACGCGGAGAAGGTTGGTAATATCGTAAAATTGTTTATTCCTAAAATGATAGAGCATTAATTGTTCATTCGAGGGGCGGCCTAACCCCTCGTGGGGGGAGGGGTCCCCCAGTTGTACCTACCCTATAAAAACCTTTAAGATTGGCCGCTTCCTTAAGGTAGCGTTATGCGCAAAAATGGGCGGCAAAATGAAAACAAGTGGCGTTTTTTCTGAGAGAAAGAGTGTACGTAAGAAAGGTGTACCCTTCATGCGGAGGCAGACAGGGAAGGGCGTGGAGCCGGGGGGGGGCACCCCGCCGCGAGAGGCCCATCAACAGAATGGAAGAGAATTGGCCCTTTGGCGTTAGCTCTGTTGGCACTCTATAGTCTATTTCACTTACAACTGTTGTTGGACCCCAGCGGGGAGCCCCCGGGACCCCAGCCCCCCACACCCCCACATTCAGAGTTGATTTAACATAAGAAGAAAGTTATCCTGAATAAAACAGGATAGGTGAGTTGATTTTAGCGAACGAATCCTCCAGATAGGTGGACTTGCAAACGTTCTGAGCCCATTTCAACTATGCGAAGCGTGAGGGTAAATCAAAGACATTTGTTCTTTTAAGTCTTCTATTTATAATTGATGTGTTTAATAGTTCTAACCCAGCACTATTTGAGTGGATATGCAAACGATCTTCATATCTTAGTGCTGTATCACGAATGGTTTGTTTGACAGATGGCATTTCCAATTCACGACGTATGTGTACGTTTCTAACGAACCACGGGGCTCCAATAATAGTCCTTAGTACCTTAGACTGGAAAATTTCTAATTTCTGTATGTTGGAATTACTGGCACAACCCCAGATTTGGCATCCATACAGCCAAATAGGGCGTAATATTTGATTATATAGTAGGAGTTTATTTTTAATGGATAATTTTGACTTTTTATTTAACAACCAGTGCATTTTTTTATAGTTTATGTTAAGTTCTTTAACTTTAATATTTATGTGGTCTTTAAAGGTTAACCTTGAATCGAGATAAATTCCTAATGAGCGTGCTACTGAAACTAGTGGGACTTGTTCCCCATTTAAAAAAACTGGTTTTGGGGTGATTTTTCTGTTTGTAAAGATAATATGATTAGATTTTTGAGCATTGAGAGTTGTGCCATTAATTTTCACCCAATTAGAAACGTTATTTAGAGAAATTTGTAACTTGTTGTTAGCTGAATGTAAGTCTTTGTCTATTTCTGCCGGTGAAGTATCGTCAGCGAAAGTGCCGATGAATCCTTCTATAAGCTTAGGGATATCATAGGTAAAAATATTATACAAAATAGGGCCTAGTACACTACCTTGAGGGATGCCTGCCGTTATTGAGTGGAATTTTGAATAAGAGTTATTAAAACGTACTCTGAATTTTCTACCATGAAAGTATGATTTTAAAAGCCGAACGTGATTTTCAGGCAATAGGATCCGGATCTTGCAGAGGAGACCCAGTTGCCATACTTTATCAAAAGCCTGTGCGACGTCAAGAAATGCCACCTAACAGACTTTTTTTTCCTCTAAGGCCCTCTCTATAAGAGCCGTCATCCTGTGTACCTGCTCGATTGTTGAATGTCCAGCCCGAAAACCGAACTGATGATCTGGAATTATATTACTTTCATTCAATAGCGGCAGCAATCTTTTTAAGTAGCAGCGTTCAAAGAGTTTGCTAAATGGCGGTGGAAGTGAGATTGGACGATATGATGAGACTTTTTCAGTTGGTTTTCCCGGTTTAGGTAAAACTATAATCTCAGCTAACTTCCATGCCTCGGGAAAAGACGAAGTTTGAATAAGTTTTAGGGGGGGGGGGNACCATATTTTTGAGCATAACTCGGCAGCCGTGATGTTCCTCGCGTCAGATTTTCATCTTCGCTTTCGACCGCCCCCGGGCCCCGGGGGAGGGGGAGGGGGAGGGGGAGGGGGAGGGGGAGGGAGGAGGATGTACCCTCCTCCCCCCTGCAACCTCCCACAAGAAGTTGCACTGATGTTCTCTCAGAAAAAACGCCACTTGTTTTCATTTTGCCGCCCATTTTTGCGCATAACGCTACCTCAAGGAAGCGGCCAATCTTGACGGTCTTTATATGGTGGGTACTGCTGAGGGACCCCCTCCCCCCACGAGGAGTTAGGCCGCCCCTCGAATGAACAATTAATGCTCTATCATTTTAGGGATAAACAATTTTACGATATTACCAACCTTCTCCGCGTTATTGGCGAGAAATCGCGGCGAAACGGTCATTTTCGCGGAAATTTGAGATATTTTGACATTTTAAGCACCCTAACCGGGGGGCCGGGACCACGGGGATCCGGGCGGACAACGGGTAATGGCCAAAGTCACTTACAATTTTTCTTTACCAATATTTCACGAGCTTTCAGAATGGTTATGAGGAGTTTTGCCCTGAAATCAAGCCTTTTCGAGAAAAATGGGAAAATTCGCGGAAAAGTCGGAATTCTGAGCAATTTTGGGGGGTTTAGGGGGGGCTTACTCCCCCCACCACAATAGAATTCGCGTAAACAAGAAAAATCTTATTCTACAAGTTGAGAGTTTCAAGAACATCACCATCTTCAAAATTCCCCCGGGGGGGGGGTTACCCCTTGCTGACCCACGGTCTAATGGATTTCAATGTTGAAATTTTCCGTGGTGACATTTTCCATGGTCCTCTTCATGGTTCTCTCCATGGTGCAGTGCTCCGTGGTGAAACTTTTTACGCCCCATTTTCCGTGGTAAACACCATGAAGTTCCATTGAAAAATTTTAACTGGGAAAGGTGAATTAACTTTTCAAACGGTCAAAATTTGCCCAGAAGATTATTGTATTATCATGCAAATTTGTTAATGCTCAAACGGTCATTTAGTGTTGTTCTTAGCACGGCAGTGTATAATGTATCATTTGTTTCCTGTCGCTTCATTACCTATAAACCCTTGGAATTCATCCGGTAATGAAATTTTAGAATCTGCAAAAACCATTCAAACAAGATTAAAACACCACAAAATTATTCAATCAAAAGATTGCAAAAATGAAACTTCTAAACTAGACATTTAAATTAAAAAGCCGGCCCCCTTTGAGAGACAAATGGAAGGGGCGGGGGTCGTGATTTTAAAAGCTGGGCTTCCCTTTGGTATCACAAATTGATTGCATCGATATTTAAAGGTGCGGCAAATTTGAACCTGAACTGACCGCTGAAGGTTCAAAATTGGCCCATCCGAGCCCAACGCCCCTACAAGGGGGCTGCATCCGGTATTCCCCTAAACAAACTCTCTGTGGTGTTAAAGTCAATGTAGGATCTCACGGAAAGAAAAGTGAATAATGTAATTAGTGTGTATAATTGACCCTGAGGAATCCAAAATGTATGGTCGCATAGCTCCCCTGCCACTGCTAGAGAAAGGAGGCTGCACCTGAAATGCGGGTCTCCAATCTTTTTGAAATTTTCTCATCAATGAAAATTACGTTAAAAACTGACTCGGATCAATTCTGTTCCAATAAATTTAAAGTTGACCCATTTTGCCCATAACTGCTACGGTCCCTTATAAAGACTGGGAGTCAGGGTCCCCTTCACAACATGGAGTGAGGACAAATTGATGTAGCAAGTTCAAAAAAAAGAACAAAAATACACTCAGATGATCGACTTGTAAAGTCCATATGGTTCGTTCTAGAGGGCCTCCCAATACTTAGGCACTGGCATGCGTGTAATTTTCATGATGCGCTCATTTGATGGAACAGAAGTATTCTCCATTACCAACTTGGGGAATAAAAAGAAATATGTCAAAAAATAAGTGCTTCCAAGAAATTTAAGTTTTCAAGCGCAGTGTTTTAAATAATCATCGCTTGATAACAAAATAGCAAATGTTCCAAATCAATTGGATTTTATTACTTTATCCTTTTCGTCATAGGTGGATGGGTTGCAGAAAGAATTAGCTGTGAAAGAAGTTGAGTTGACAGAGAAAAACGCCAGAGCTGAGGAGTTGATAAAAGTCGTGGGAAAAGAACAGCTGAAAGTGGCCGATGAAAAACAGTTTGGTTTGTATTCAGTTTTTAGCCTCCGTCACAAACTATCTATTCATATTCATACTCAGGTAATTGGATCAAATCAAATACTGAGCTATTAGCCGAGTTTTACTTGATGAGAAGTAACTCAGTTTACCCAAACGCCAAATGTGCCCATCTTCCAAGAGCTTATCGGGCACCTTACAACGCAACATATCTCTATACGTCAACACTCTGCCGTCATCCCTTCACGGGACGTCCCCGTCAACTTTTCTCAGGTGACACTCAATCGAAACTTGTTTCGGCAACCCTCCTTCGAAATTCTTTGCACATGTTCATCTAACATTTTAACAACATGTTCATATATTGGGAATGCTCCTCGGTTTAAGGTAGCAACTTTTTGGCCCCCCCAAAATGTTGGGGGGCGGCCTCCCCTAAGGGGGGCGGGGGGTAACTTTTTTTCTCAAATGGCAACCCCCCTTTTGTGATACCTCATTCGAGTGATAATAAAAAAAAAAATTTGGCGCAAACCGCAGGTCAAAATGTTGATTTTTGACAAAATGGCAGCAGGTCAAAGTTCAAAATGGCGGAAATTTGGCATCTCCGTTTTTTATCGGCGGATTGGTCTGAAACTCAGTACAGTAGGGTTTTTTGGGACGAGAAAAACGATTCTGGCATTAGTTTTCCAGAAATGTGACTCCTTTTCAAAATGGTGGCGGTTAAAATGGCGGCTTAGAGCGGGAAGTGGATATTTAGGCTGCTTATCAACGGATTTGTATGAAACTTGTTATCCGGGGGTATTTCGGCACGAAAAGAACGAATCTTTCATTGGATTTTTGAAATTTTTAAAAACTTTAAAATGGCGGTGAAAAAATGACGGAAAATCCATATCGAGGATGTTTACCGATGGGTTTGCACAAAAGTCAATACTGTGGTGATTTTTGGCTCGAAAAATTAATCTTTCATTAGATTTTTGAAACACTGAATATCGTCAAAATGGTGGCGGAACGAACGGAAAATCCGCATCCATCATCGCCATTCGCATTTTTGCCGAACTTTGAAAGTTTTTAAAAATTTCAAAAATCCAATGAAAGATTCTTTCTTCTCGTGCCAAAATACCCCCGGATACCAAGTATCATACAAATCCGACGATAAGCAGCCTAAATATCCAGTTCCCGCTCTAATCCACCATTTTAACCGCCGCCATTTAGAAAAGGACTGATATTTCTGGAAAACTAATGCCAGAATCGTTTTTCTCGTCCCGAAGAACCCTGGGATTCTGAGTTTCAGACCAATCCGCCGATAAAAAACGGAGATGCCAAAGAGCCTCCCAAAAAAAGGGCCTTTTTTGGCCCCTTTTGTGAAACTCGGGGATTTCATTCAAATGTGGCCTAAACGAAACCTTATGATGACCCAAGACTCCAGTAAAAATTTTAGCGTGAGTATACGTCTGGTTTCGGAGATACAACGTTGCAAAGTTTGCATATTTAAGCTTTAAAAATCTTCATATTTTCAAATATTATCTTCCTAAAACTAACATAAGAGTGAACTTTACAATACTGAAACAAAGCGTAAATGAAGCATAATGATAAAGCAAGTCTCCAGTAAAAGTTTCAGCTTATGTATGACCCCTGTTTAGGTAGTGCAACGTTGCAAAGTTTACCTTTCTGAGCTTTAAAAATACTCATATTTTTGAGTTTCTTATTTAAAAACCAATTTTAGTGAATGTCCAATTGTATTTTGTGGCACGAGATTAACCCCTAGTGGCACTCTTGGATGCATAGTGCATTGATGTAAGGCTACAATAATTTCAAGTAACACAGCGTTGCAAAGTTTACATCTTATACCTCTGAACATGTCTTTTCTAATATTTTTTTATTAAAAAAAAACTTCGATCAAACATGTCTCGGTATTTTAAAGCAAAATGTTAGGACTCTAGTTAGAACTAGATCACAATTGGTATAAAAATTACACTGTTGCCTATTTTTTTGTTTTCCTTCAACATTTATACATAAAATAATTTTAAAATTAGGATACTTCCAAAAATAATAATCTGATTTCAAAATCAAATTCAAGAGACTTTGTCATGCTTAATGGAATACTCATCATCAGCGTTTCTTACAAAATCCAACAAATTCTGACTCGCCATAGTTGCCAATTCGACCTTTTGTTAAGAAAAATTAAAAAATAAATATAGAATACGGAATATTTCGAGTTTTTTTAAGTATAAATTAATCTTGATCTAGAGAATACATTTATTACGCCTTGAAAAAATAATGCGTTCATCCATTGCATCCGTTCTTGTTCCTTTAGTGTTCATTTAAAAATTTATTTGTTTTTTCTTTTTTTTTCTTAATGTTAAAGTTTAAGATTAGCGACAGTGTCAAGAGTGTCAAGACATTGTCCATAGATTTGCAGGCAGAACTTGTACCGATGTGTGATAAATTCATGCAAAAAAAAAAAAAATAAATAAATAAATATAAAAAATGGAAAAAAAAATGAAGAAAAAAATAAAAAAAAATTATAATTGTTATTTAAAAATGTAAAAAAATTAAAAATGTAAAAACATTAAACATGTAAAATAAATAAAATAAAAATTAAAAAAGTAAAGCAAAGTTATAAAAAACAAAAATCATAAATATCAATTCTTAGAGGATTCCTTATTTTAATTTCTCATTTATTTATCGTTTTAAAAGAAGTATTAATAAACTTGATCATAGTATTTTTGCCAATACCAATTGTCACTCGGAACTGACATCAACCCTCGATATTTTGCCTTGATATCAGGTATTACATTCATAGACGTCATCTTTAACTACCATAAATAATAATTTCAAGAGTTTAACGTTGTTAGCTTGGCAACGCTGTACCACCACCAATCAAATTATCCCTGTTTATTCGAACATACATCTACAAATGACACGTGGGTAGATTTTACTCCTCAAATTCGAAAACAAGATCCACGAAAATCGCTCTTTAAACGCGGAACTTCAAAATATAAACATTTTTGAAGCTCAAATAAATAAACTTTGCAACGCTGTATCATTGAATCTGTGCTTACGCTCGCGGTAAGGCCTATATGGAAGACGTATCTTATTATAAAATCACACCTAAACCCCATAAAAATATATTTTGGTGATCAGTAAGTTCGTCTTTTTATAAAAAAACTAACCAAACTGAGCATTTTTTATAGGTCTTTGGTGTCAACTTTGCAACGTTGTATCAAGAGAATTAGCAGTATTATTGTATCAATAGATGTATGCAATCAATAATAAGACTAAATGTTGGTTAAATGTCACAAAATATCATAAAATGTCCGATGGAGGTGTTTTCGACAATAAGATACTTGAAAATATGCGAATTTTTAAAGCTTAAATATGCAAACTTTGCAACGCTGTATCTCGGAAACTAGACGTATACTCAAGCTAAAATTTTTACTGGAGGCTTGTCTCACCATAAGGTTTCATTTCAGCCACATACGAATGAAATCCCCGAGTTTCAAAAAAGGGGCCACTTTTTGGGAGGCTCTTTCCGACATTTTGAACTTCGACCGGCCGCCATTTTTTTCAAAAATCAACATTCCGACCTGCGGTTCGCTCCAAAAAGTTTCTTTTTTTAATATTTTTCGAATCAGGTATCACAAAAGGGGGAATGCCATTTGGAAAAAAAAATTAGCCCCCGCCCCCCTTAGGGGGGGCCGCCCCCCAAAATTTTGGGGGGGACCAAAAAGTTGCTAACTTAAACTAGGGCTGTTCTATCGGTTGTCGGTAAGCTACCGAAACAGTTCCGTTAAGAAAAATTTACGATAAGAGCGCTCATGCCGATAGTGATCAGAGTTTTCGGAGATGACGAAAATAAGCTGTTGACATTTGTACATATATTTTACGCGCCGCCGCGCCAGGCAATCTGATAAACCGACACACGGGGCATCAATGCATTGAGTGCGAGCTCTCAAAAATCCGATAAGGCCGGCTGTTGTCGATATCATCGCCACTGTCGCGACTGCGCCAGTTTCAATAAGAAACGATATCAAAGTGTTCCGGCAAGAATTCGTTTGAACACCCCTACCTTAAACCGAGGAACATTCCCAAGGTTTCAAACTTTTATCTCGCTTAGGAAGAAAATTATAGGGGTGGTAGGTGACTTTTGGATAACCCTGTATGTACAACAAATGTGTTTAACACATTTGCCAACATTGAGTCGAAAATTAAATACAAAAATGAGAGTTTATCTAAAAAAATTCGCAACTCAGTTGGGTCGATCATGTTCCGTTTTTGTGAAAGATATATCTTTACTAAGAAAAAAAGTTTGAGTCTCGACCAGGTAGAATTATTTTAAATTCTACAGCCATATGCTGAAAACAAAAAAATCCTGCTTAAAAATAAAAATTTGTCAATTCTTATTGCGGACAAGTCGAACTAAACAGTGATAATGGAAAAGACAGACTACAAGGAAAAAATGGTAGAACTGTTATCAAAATTTACAAAAAAATGAGTCGTTGCTTAACGCTCTCACTGCAAAATAAAAATAACGTCATCGTAAAAAATTGGTTAAGCAAGGATTACATTTAAAAAAATGTAGCTCAAGATTTAATGATAACAAACGCTTTGCCATGTTAAAGAATGGCCTTGTAAAAACGCATAAAGAGGGAATGCATCTCAGACTCATTGTTACTGCTATCCAAAGTCCATTTTACAATTTTTAAAAACTTTTTGGAAACGTTTTCAGTAAGATTGTTGAAAAAACAGCTAACACGGTGAAGAACTCATTTGAATTTGTTGAATTTTTGAAGACCATGGACCCAGTACCAAAAGATTATATGTTAGCCTCATCAGACATAGTATCTATGTATACGAATATCCGTATTAGCTATGCATTAGAAGTTATTTCCAAAAAATGTGATGGAATCAAAGCTCACACGGCTCTACCAAAAAACGAGTTTCTGTTTGGAGTAAAATCATGTTCAGAGTCAACCGTGTTCCAATTTTAAAACGATTTTTACAAACAGATCAGTGGAGTAACAATGGGAGGTC